AGCCCCATCACTCCACCATGTCTCTCCCCTTTGCATGTCCACATGTGCATGAAGTGTGTATAAAGAAAGAGTGAAAAAAATAATTTCCCCCTAGGGGATCAATAAACTGAACAATACACTTCACACATCCCAGTACGCTCCAAATTCTACCAAATCAACACTTATTAGGACATCAATCTATCAGTAATAATACAGTATGTGAGCAGAATACAGACAGCAGCATGTTGACATAATAACCTTACTGTAGCTAACATGGGCTAACCTTAAAGAAATGATTTCCTTTCTGAGAATCTCGACTCACTTTTCTTTCCTCGTCTCAGAATGTGTAAGTTATATGTCATATTTTAGTTTCAAATCTTTCCTTTGTTTTGTGATTTGAATTTCTAATATGCTTCAAAATATAAGTAACATGCACATTCTTTCATTCATATCAGTTTGATATTTGTTATGCCAAAAGCAGACAATAATAAAAAACATCGTATTACACTTTATGCTCATTTCACAGCCACATTTGAGTTTGTGGCAGTAAGTCACATAATTGTTGATGCTGACCTTATACAGCTTAAAACAAATTGGCTCATGACAATATGCAAAAGAGAAGAAACCCATAATCTGTATCCTATTATGTAAAATCCATTGGCTTATTGTTCAGCTGCAAAGTCAGTCCAAAGTCATTCCAACAGTCCGTTTCTTAAGCCGTCGTGCTGCTGCCTTCCAGTCATCTCTCCTTCACATCATGTGGTCAAAGTGGGATAACATACAGCACATTATTTATCTCGCCTGTCATGCATTTTATTCAGATTATTTTATAGACTTTTTATACAGCAGGTTTAAATTAATATGCATCTCCTGGGGATGACGGCGAATCTGTTATTAAAGGAATTTAAATAATCGCAGCACTGATGCTCAAAATTTCCCCAATTCAACCTCAAAAATGTGATTTCCGTCTTGCTCCTGCAGTTGGATGTTTGAGCTTCACTGTGCAGACACTAGAAGGACGTTTCCACATTCATCTGCTGAAAGCTAGTTTGAAAATTAGATTTTAAGAGGCAGAGCCTATGAGGATGATTTGTGACATCATAAATAGTCTAAAAAGTCCATCCTGGTCCAGTCTGCAACTTATACAAGTGTGATATAGAAACTAGAAGCCATCAATGCACATACCCTGAGAATGGACTTTACAGTGAAGCAGGAGACATCTTGTGTCCAGCAGGAACACTTGCTAAATCAACATAATTTGCATATTCATAAATACTGGAAATTGTAATGAGGCAGAAGGAGTAGACGCCTTTTTTAACGAGTTTAATATAGAAAAACACACATCAGACACACATTATTGTTCCAAGCAGTCTATTTGTATACATGTTGTGATACATGTCTGAAGGGGATTTAAGTGGGCGTGTATCAGCTTTAAAATATACACACACACACACTGCACACGATGAACATAAATCAAGTTCATTAATTATCATTAGGCATCTCCCCACAGAGGTTCTGAGTATTTAATCAGTTGAAACCAATAATTTAAACCTTCGGCTGCAATGAGTTCTCCACAGGTGACGCCAACTATATAAATTACAATGTACAAAATGGTATTGATGAGTAAACATTTAAAAAAAAAACAGCAATCTAGTTTTCTTCTTCTTAATAATGAAAAGTTTTCATTTTAATTAATGTCTGGTATAAATAACTGTATGTGGTGGTTTATATTTGAAATTCCCATAAACTCCTCCTGTAGCTCTTTCAATATGCATCAACAGGTAGTCCGACAGGTACCACAAAACCACAGTTAACGGCCTACGTCCACTGGATCTGTCTGCGTCATGTTTGGCTGCCGGAGAAGATTCACTCCTTCTAGGTACCGCGGTGCCGCCTTAGTGACGGAGGCGTGTCACTCGCAGCTCTTTTCTTTGCTCTGCCTTCCTTATGTGCCAGGTCTATTTATCTCAGAGCAGCTCACGTCTCTGAAATTTACTTGTAAATGTATATAAATGCATGTATTTATTGACAAGTTGACTTAAAATGAATATTTAATGATGCATTTCATTTGACATTTTCTTGAGAAATACAGCTGTATTTTGAAAGTCTGGCCAGCCCTTGACAAATAACACATTTGGGTGATTTTTTCATTTAAAAGATGTAAACACAGCCTCATGAGGGTATGGGACATAAAGCATAATATTTGCAGCAAGTTCTGCGGTCTCAGATTCTTTATACAAGGCCTCAGACTTTCATCAGCTCGTTAGGTCTGAGGCTTGTGAACAGCTGTCATTAGAAAACATCAGCTGGTGCCAATTTCAAAGCTTTACAAATACACTGATTCTTCAAACCGTGTGCAAACACTGACCAACAACAGGTTCCTCTATGCAGCTGTGTAAGACTCTGAAAATGGAAGTTATTGATGCCCACAGTGCAGGAGAAGGCTTCAAGAATTTAGCAAAGCATTGTCAGCCTGCAGTTTTAACAGTGTGAAATGTGGCTTCTCAATATTCATCCTAAAGTCCGTCTCCAAATCCACCGTGGACTACCTCAAGAGACACAAGCCGAAGGTTTTGGAATGACCCTCACAGTTTTTTGACCTTAAATATTGAAAATCTGTGGGTAGATCTTAAGAACTGTGCATGCCCCCAAGAATACTGCTGAACTAGAAACCTTTTGCGAGAAATAATGTGAAAAACACCCAAATACAAGATCTAATAGACTTTTAGCAGCTACAAAACTTGTTTGTAAGCTGTGATATCAAGTACTGACAGTAAAGTATACCCAATTATTAAAAAAAGAAAACCTAACAATGCATGAATGTTTGCTGCAAATACTGTGACTTTTATGTTCCATACCTTCAGGAGACTGTGTTTACATCTTTTCAATCACCAAAATTTGAAAAGGGGTGACCAAACTTTCGCATACAACTGCACACAACCTGCTCTCTGGTTTAAGGCAGCTACATTTGTGATTTAGTGGTTGGCACATAATTCCCTTGTTCTGTACCTGTTAACCAGGCACTCATTCCCAACCTGCAACACCTTGAATAAAAATCTTTATTTTTATACCCATGTCTTCATGACGACAGCTGCGCTGTAATATCAGCTACAATGATATTTAAAATAAGAGACCACAGAGGCAACAAAAGGTCGTCCATGTACAGCCACAAAACATGTTTTCACTGAAAATGTGTATTTATGCTTGTAAAACCCCCAAAATGTGGGCAAACCAACTTAACTACAGTGTATTAAAAATGTACGTTTCCACATTTCCAATGGACAGAAGCATCACTGAGCAAAAGTGCAACTAGAACGAGACACAGCTGTATTCAGGAGATATCAGACATTAGCATGCCAAACTTAGAAGCCCTGGTGGCAGACTAAAACAATAAAGGCAGTATTTACTTCACATTTTTGGTGCTGTTGATTTATACACAAACATTTGGCAAATGGAAACCACGTTGACTCTGAGCTGGAAAATATAGCACACCTCCGTACTATGTAATTTAAGGAGTAGCAGCACTTCCTAGGGCTGTTCTTCAAAAGTCCTGCAAAAGCGGAACTAAAAACAAGGAGGCAGCCATTCAAACTGACAACTGTGACCAATTTCAATTTGTTATGTGAAGCACTTTGGGCTGCATGTTCGTATGAAAGGTGCTACATAAATAAAGTTGAGTTGAATTGTCAAACCCAAACTGCATCCATGTGCCCTGAGAGAGTGCACAGGATGGCTTTTAACCTCATCCTATCACCTACATTGCCTACACTCGAAGTAAGATACCTCCGAAAACATCAGGTTCCTCAGCCTTAGAGAATGAAAGAAAATAGGAGATGAGATGTAAGTTTTTTTTCTTAGTTTCTCAGTTGAATTTCTAGTTCATGAAAAGAAAAAACATGTTTTATTACTTACTAGCACTTTGCTGTGTTATGTATCTTATTTAGTTATTTGTCAAAAATCAATATCAATTAACCCTTTCTAAGTCCCGCCTTTTTGGCTCTGTGCTCCAATAACAGGTTAGTGAGCATCAGCCAGAACCTCACTCAACTTTCCCTGTAGTTAATATGCTCTGTGCTAGGCTCATCTATGTTGAAAAGACACATTTAAAGAGTGTGAACTGTTATTGGAGCACAGAGCTAAAAGAGTTTGGGACAGGTCGATTATTTCCACCGTACAGCTAATAATTGCTCTTATAAAGACAGAAATGTGGATTTTTTAAACAAGCTTTTGACTTTTGGTCCTCTACAACTTTGCTTTGGCAGCATTAGACTCTACGACCCCTGCTGCTCGCATCTGGTCTATCTCCGCTGACGTAAACCCGTACTCCTCTAGCACCTCAACCGTGTGTTCTCCGATAACAGGATCTGGGGTAAGGCAAGGCTCTGCAGGAGTCCGAGAGAGAACCGGGGCCGGCCGGGGGCTTTCATCCCTGCTGGAGTCCTTGATGAAAGAAGCTCTTTCCTGGTTATGTGGGTGTGAGCTCACCTGGTCAAAAGACAACACAGGTGTAACACAGGCATCAGTCCCATCAAAAATCCTTGACCAATCCGCCTGGGTTTTTGAAGCAAAACGCTCTGTGAAGATCCGTCTCAGCTCTGGCCAATCACTGAAGCTCATCTGAGGAGGCAGCTCTCCAGCGTCCAACTCTAAGCCTAGGAAAAGAAGACTTGTGTAACCAATGCATCAACAGCAAAAATGACACAAAACAGAGAAATGTTCTTAGAGCAGTGGTCATAATCACAATCAACCTGTTGACCTTTGTGGTGAAGTGTAAGTATTTCACTTGAATGGTCTTTTTTTTTTTTCATAGGTTAGTGTTGGGAGGAGGTGTTTTATTTCACACAGTGCCCTGTACTGTGCCTGGGCCCATCCACACAAGTTTCCCCCAAGGTTTGTCTCGGGCACATGTGGAAGGAAAGAATGTGTATTTGCATACTACAAACCCTTAAGTAGCTCTCTGTAGAACTGCGGTTCTATGGCACCCACAGCCATGTACTGTCCGTCTGAAGTCTGGTAGGTATCGTAGAAGGGCGCTCCACTGTCCAACATGTTTTGTCCTTTTGAACGGTCCCACATACCAATGCTGCGGGATTTCCAAACAAATGAACCTACATATGCTGCTCCCTCTACCTGAGGACGAGAGAGGGGAAGAGAAAAGGTGAACAGAAGGTCAGGGTTCATATTTGTATTTATATTTCATGCATAAT